GGAGCCTTGGACGGCTCCCGGTGGTTGGGCTCCGCCGTGGAATTAGCTCCAAGTTGGGTGTTCTGTTACTGCTTTCATAGTTACAAGCGTATCAGGTATTTAGGTCGGCTGAAAACCTGGGAAGAGCTTAAATTAAGGCGCCTTATCCTTGGTCGGCATCTTTTTGTGGGTACAATGCAGTTACTAGAGGGTTTTAACGCAAATTCTTGCTTAGTTTATTTGCTGTGCTTATGTCGTTGGGACCAATTCACGCATCTGAGGTCTTATGAGGAGCGGCTGAGGGAGCTGGGGTTGTTTAGCCTGGAGAAAAGGAGGCTGAGGGGAGACCTCATTGCTCTCTACAACTCCCTGAAAGGAGGCTGTAGCGAGGTGGGTGTTGGTCTCTTCTCCCAAGTAACAAGCGATAGGACGAGAGGAAATGGCCTCAAGTTGCGCCAGGGGAGGTTTAGATTGGACGTGAGGAAAAATGTCTTTACTGAAAGAGTGGTTAAACATTGGAACAGGCTGCCCAGGGAAGTGGTTGAGTCACCGTCCCTGGAAGTATTTAAAAGACGTGTAGATGAGGCGCTGAGGGACATGGTTTAGTGGGCCTGGGGGTGTTGGGTTGATGGTTGGACTCGATGATCTTGGAGGTCTTTTCCAACCTTAATGATTCTATGATTCTATGATTATTTTGGCAGCTGGTCAGAACTTTATGGGCTGGGACTGCCCAGCTTTTCCTTCACGTTACCGTTTTTGCATGGGGCTCATGGTAATCGTGGGTTTTTGCTGAAGAAACGGCATCGGAGTTACCCCTGTGGCGTGCTGGGGTACTGCTCAAAAAGCCTGAGCTGGGCTGGATGCGCCTGCAGGCAGCAGAAGGGAAGGGGCGGTGTGACGTCGCACTCCGCTAGGGAGAGGTTGGCATGACATCATTTGTGCTCTTGAGCGCGAGACGTGACGCCACGCGCGTGTGTAACAGTTTCGCCCCCCCGCTCCCCCGCCCCAATCAGTCGGGACTGAAGCGCGGGCGGAGGTCGGGCTGCGGCCCTGGTTCGTGACGACGCGGAGGCGCAGTCTGGCGTCACGGCTACGTCACGCGGAGGCGGGGAGAGCCCGTCCCGCCTCCCCGCCCGGGGCGGTGCGTTGCT